ACTCATGTTGACCCTCTCTTTGAACCTTCGACATACAAACAAATTGCTTCATATGACCATTGGATTCAAGCCATGCAACTGGAAATTGATGCCTTGCACAAAAATGGCACTTGGATCCTTGTCCCACCTCCTTTGTCACATTAACCAGTCGGCTGCAAATAGGTTTAAAAAGTCAAACTTAAACTAGATGGTTCTCTTGAGCGTTACAAAGCCCGTTTGGTAGCCAAAGGTCATCACCAAACTGAAGGAATTGACTACTTTGAGACTTTTAGCCCGGTTGTTAAACCAACAACCATCTGTCTTGTCTTTAGCCTATCAACTCAATTTGCTTGGCCTATACAACAACTTTATGTGCACAATGTATTTCTTCGTGGTGATCTTCAAGAAGAGGTTTACGACTCAACCTCCAGGCTTTGTTCACCCTCAATTTACTAATTATGTTTGTTGTCGCAACAAAGCCTTATATGGTCCTAAATAGTCCCCGCAGGCTTGGTTTACTAAGTTGAGCTCTTGGCTAATTGATTGGGATTTACTGGTTCAAAATCTGATACATCCATGTTTGTTCTTCATACTCAACATGATATTCTCCTCGTCCTTGTCTACGTTGATGACATAATTGTGACGGGTAACAACATTACTCTTGTTCAGAAACTTATTGGTGCTCTAAATTCTGCCTTTTCTTTAAAGAATTTGGGTGCAATACACTACTTTCTTGGCATTAAGGTTTGTCGAACAACTGATAGCTTGCATTTGAGCTAGACAAAATATTTCTCTGATTTACTTGCCCGAGTCAACATATTGGATTGTAAACCATCTCCAACTCCATTGTCCCCTACTGCCTCTCTGTCTCTCTATAATGGTTCTCCCTTGTCTGACCCCTATTCATATAGAAGTGTTGTTGGCGCCTTACAATACTGCACCCTTACTCGCCCCGACATTGCCTTCTCTGTGAACAAATTATGCCAGTTTATGCATCAGCCAACATATCAGCATTAGCAACCTGCCAAACGGGTCCTTCGATATTTAAGAGGATCCATCAATTTTGGTCTCTCCTTCTCCACTCACACTGATCTTACTCTAACCTCCTACACAGATGCTGACTGGGCCACTTCTACTGATGATAGAAGAAGTACCGGTAGACATTATTTATTTTTGGGTTCTAATTGTTGGTTTTCAAATCGAATTCGGATGCGGAAGCGTGAGGGTAGCGGATCGTATATAACAAAAATTTTCATAAAACCTTTGAGATACTCTATAGATTATATTAATTTATGCACGAATAAATTAATCACATTAATTTATTTAATAAGAACTCATTTAGGAATTATACCTGACGACCAATTAGGATGATAACTTGAGTTCTTTGACCACGAACAATCCTTGCTTTAAAGCTTTGTGTTTAGAAAACCAATGTCTTCCACGTCAATTTCCAAAATCTCCTCTTCTATTTTATCCATTATGGCCGGCCACCTATAGAGGATTTTATCCTTGTGTGGCGCCAAATACAGACAGGGAAAGAAGAGAAAATCATCATTTATCCTACAGTCTAATTTTGACTCAAATTTAAATTCCAATTTAAGTCAAACTTAAAATTAATTTGAATTCTAAATTGAACAACTTATCAAATAAGTTTAAATGGATAAAATTAGATGTGTTCACATTGTGTTTTCACACTATGTGTTCATACTATGTGAACACCTTCACATAAGTGATTCAAAATTCAAATTCAAATTTAAATAGTCACATTATTTAATTCATATTTAATTCATAATTAATTATTCTCGAGTGTTTAATTTTAGAATTCGGTAATTCTAAAATTTCTATTTTGCTCTTTGTGTCTTGTAGAATTACTAGAACGACGCGGGGACTAATGGACCTATAATCCTGAGTTCTAATAAAATTAATAATTAATTAAATACTTTAATTAATTAATTACTTCTATTAATTCCAATAGTTACTTCACTATAAACTTAGAATTACACTCTCAAAATCATAGACATAAATTACTTCTAAACTGTGAAGTGTCCATTTGATATAGTTACTGCATATAAATCAATTATTCATAAATAATTCATAATTAGAGTTAGGTAGAATCCGTTAACCTCTCTAATTATATATTTATCCTTGAGTACCATTAATTCTCTAATGGATAGTGATTCATAAAACACATTCATAAACCAAAGTGCTTTTACTAATTCAAGTACAGAATCAACACTCAAGAGAATTATTTATCTGTTTTTTTCTCAATAAGGAATGGATTCCATCTCGTATAATAACATTCTCGGTTACCTACTTCATCATGTCTCCAAAATACAAGGAATAGGATTCAAGGTCTCGAAATCCGTACCGAGTAAATCAAAAGACACAAATTCATAAATAGGAGTTTGTTAAGAACTCAGAATTAAGATCATTCTATATATGATCATCGGTAGACTCAATTAGAATTTATATACTTAACAGAAATTATTATAAATTTATATTGTATTTGTATCCCTGTTCCACATAATCTTATGTGAAATACACTCAATTCAATTTCTCACCATATTAATAGTGCAGATAACATCGTTCCATTCTAAATAGAAATGACATGTATTAATAATGTTTTAATTAAATATTCTGAACTTTAATTAAATTCATTATGAACATCATTTTTTTATTATTATCCTTAAACATTATCCTCTCGCATATAACACTTATATATAATGTTTAAGGTCACATAAATAATCATGAAATTTTCATTGATATTCATAAAATATTCACAAATGTATACACATAAAATGATGAATAAACCCTTTTATTAAATAAATAATAAATATCATATAACATATCATGTTTTTAGGACACCATTCCCAACACTAATCTCATCTCTTGGTCCTCCTCTAAGCACAAAGTTGTCTCTCAGTCCAGTGCTGAATCCGAGTACAGGGGTCTTGCTAATGCTACTGCTTATATTATTTGGGTTGAATCACTTTTGACAGAGGTTGGTATTACTCTTGGTTCCATCCCACTTTTGCTATGTGACAACATCAGTTCTACTTTTTTGGCTGCCAACCGTGTTTTTCACGCCCGCACTAAGCACATTGAAGTTGATTATCGCTTTGTTCATGAACAAGTCATGCGTCGACAACTCGATGTTAAATTTGTTCCATCCTCGGATCAGCTTGCAAACACTTTAACGAAGCCTCTTCCTACCACTGATTTCATTTGATGTCGCTCCAAACTCATTGTTCTGCCCTGACTAGTTCGTTTGAGGGGGGATGTAAAGCCAAATTAGTCTTAGGCCTTGTGATTAATATTTCCATTCTTTTTTTGTCCTGTATTAGTAATTTGCTTTGTATAAGTGGTCCATAGGCTCCTTTTATGACACATATATAGTTGGTTATATTTCTTTCTTACCTCTTTGTATAAAGCCTGAGCTACTTTACCATTGTATACAGATTCGAGACATAATAAAATGATATAGAACATTTTTTATCCTTCCTTTCAACTTCTTCTTTCTCTGCAAATTATTTTATTCAACTTTATGAACATTATGACATTTCAATCCCTTAACTTTTGAGTTTGATAGATTACTTCCTGAATTTTATTATTTGTTTTTTTTTTCAGTTTTGATTATTCACAATAAAACTGACAAAAGATTTTTGAAATTTTACAGAGTTAGCTTGGAATTTTATGAAAACATTTACATTACGTGCAAATTTTTGAGACAAGCTAATAAGAGATCAATACTAAGGAAAAAAAATAAAAAAGTAATTTATTAAAATTAAAAGTTCAGTGCAGACAAGCTAATAAGAGATCAAAACTAAGAAAAAAAAAGTAATTTATTAAAATTTAAAGTTCAAGTACCAAAGTGTCATAATCACCATAATTTTTCCCTTAAAAAAATAATCAACATAATTTACGTCTAATAAATGCTGATTTTTGAGATAAGCCAACAAGAAGAAGAACAATATTACAATCGTTTCGGCCCAATTTTCTCAGCTGAAAATGCGCTAGGTTCAGTTCAGATTCGATTTCGAAAGGATCTAGTGCAGGGCCTGCTCTAGGGGTAGGACGTACACATGTGCTTTTGTTGCGACTTTGGGAACATTGAACCAACTAAAATGGGCAAACCACTAACCTCGTACACAACTTAAATTATAGAGATTTTGAATTTTTTAGTTAGAAGTGTATAATTTAAATTGCAGTGATTTAAACTATAATCTGAACAGCTGTTTGGATATGTAAATAAATTGTAATTTGAATTGTAAATAAAATCTAAATTGTATTTGAATAAAATATTAAAAACTATTATTAGAGTTTTGTAATAAATATTATAAAATCTCATTATAAATGACATTAAAAAATATACAATATGTGTGGGGATTTGTTCATCTCTTCTTTATGAACACATTAAAAAATCATCTCAATCAAAATTAAAAAAAATTATGATATTTTTAATATTGAAATTGAAGAGAGAAAAAATAGAATCTAAAACTGTTGAATTGTTGACAATGTTTCAGATTGTTAAAATTTAAAGGGAGTGGTGAATTTTAAAATCAACAGTTTAAGTTGTTCTTAAACCATTATTAATGATTTGAATTGTCATTAAATTTTTGTCTCCCAAACACCAGTTTGAATCCTGAACTAAAGTTTGAATTCTAAACAACCGTTTGAGTTATTAAAAAACAAACAGAGCTATGCTTTCCTAATGTACCTTTGCGAGCTAAACAAAAACATCACACTCGTCAGAGGTCATATGTAACCTATCCAAGTAAACGGTTCTATCACCTTAATTTGGTCCATAGTAGTCCAAGTAGGACTATCGTTTTCCTTGCCCATGCTCAAAAATTGCTATGCATATATAGCACAAGACATAGGAAACCACAACTCATATTCCAAAACTAGTCTTGTTTGTTTTTTCACCCTTCAACTTTATAGTCTTCGTACTCGGGACAAGTGCTATGGGCACAAGTATGGTCCATTTTCTATCTGCTTTCACAAGATAAACAAAAAACGCAAAAAAAAATTGTTTTCTTTCTTTATTTTTAAAGTTTACAGAAAACTCAGCAATGTATGTATCAAGGACTATAGAACCCAAAACTCTTACAATCCACCAAAGACTTCTGATCCGCAGCTTTACAAAAGAAGAACATGTCAGGGCACCAGTACAAGCAATTATCCACCAAGCTGACGTTAACGTAGCCCTCCTTCAGGCCCAATAAGGGCCCAGGGATAGGCCCAAACAAGTAGTTCCCGCCCAGCAAGAGCCTCTGAAACGGCGACGTTCCGGGCCCGCGAACCGCCGCTTTGACGGCGTATTGCGGCCGAATCATCCCCGTAAACTTGTTGTGCTCCACCGACAAAGCCGAGAGTTCCGTCATCGACCCCATAAACGCCGGCGAAAGACCTTGGAGTTCGTTGTGGCTCAGATCAAGAGCTATCAATCTACTATTGACACCCCCATTATCTACTACTTCCAAGGAGGAGAATCTGTTGTGAGAGAGCGTCAATTGTTGCAGCGAAGGATGATCGAAGAGGAACGATCTCACTCGCCCGCTTAACTCGTTGTAACTCAGACCCAAAACCTGTAAAGTTACCAAACTGCCCAGGCTATTCGGGAGGATTCCGTACCGGCTGTTGTTTCGGAGAGAGAGCTCCACCAGTGAGGTCCGCAAAGTAGCCGGAACTTCGCCGGAGAATCTGTTTTCACTCAAATCGAGGTAATACAGATTCTTGAGCGAGCCTAGATTGGGAATCTCACCGGAGAGGTTGTTTCGTTGGAGCTCGAGCCGCTTCAAGCTTACGTGACCGTTGAAGCTCGAAGGAATGGTCCCACGAGGAAGTTGTTATCGAGGTAGAGCTCTTCGAGAAGAGAGAGGGAGCCGAGCAAGCCAGGGACCGGACCGGTGAACAAGTTCATGGAGAGGCAAAGCCGGTTCAGACCGGTCAAGTTGGAAAGGGAATCGGGAATGGGACCGTGGAAGGAGTTGTCGGAGAGGTCGAGTTTTTGGAGGTAAGGAAGGTTCCAGACGGTCGAGCCGAGAAAGCCCGAGTATCCGGTCGGGTCGAGGGTTATCTCGGTGACCCGGGAGAAACCGGAGACGAGCCGGTCGCATCTGAAGCCGCAAGTGAAGCGGTTTGTTAAGAGGTGGTCGCATGGATCCACATAGAAGTCCCAAGAGCTCACGCAAGAACCCGGAGTTATGGACTTTAGGTCGAGCCCTGGGAAAATGTGAATGACGCGTGGACAAATGTGACACGTGGTTTTGTTTTTCCTCAATATGTAACAACCCTCGACGTTGGGAACTCCTTTCCCCTCTGCTGCAGAGGAAGCCCAACTTAAGACGCTGACTCCTCATGACGACGACAGGTCGTACCGTCGACCTTACGGCGGGAATCCTTCGGGATGAAATCAATTGCCAAGAAAGACAACTAGACTGAGCAAATAGAGACAGCGAAAGAAATGCCCGAAGAGGGGAAAGCCTGACATCGCAAGTTGCGTGCGAAAATGGGAGATGTCTGCAGTACAGACATTAAATGCAAACCCTTAAACCGCCCTACATGGGATAGAAAAGGGTTACAAGTACGCACAGAGCCGTAATGGGAGACTAATTGACTGAGTGAACAGTTTGCAAAAATGATTAGTGGGCTACGGTCTGGGCCTAAAAAGGCAGACCACTTGAGTGCTTTTTTGCCTACAAAGAAAACCCACCCGACGAAGGAAGCTCGGCTATAAAAAGGAAGAAGCCTCATACAGGAAGGAGGTTGGTTTTTCCTGAGAGAAAAGAACGAGAGAGCAATTGTTAGTGTAAATTGTAACAATCTCAAAAAAGAATATAAAACTACAGTGGATGTAGCTCTTCATTTATAAGAGTGAACCACTATAAATTTTGTATTTTTCTACTTCAAGTATTTTTCTTTTCTCATATTGCTCACTACACAAAAAATACCACAAACATTTCACTGCATATATTGAGTATACAGTCAATATTAAGCCGGTAATCCAACGGGATACCTAGTGGTGACCCGACCTATTTCTATTGACGAGTTTTTACTGTCAACAGCCCCTTTTTCAGATCTTCGAGGACTTTAATGTCTCCAGAGAAGGTTATTGAATGTGTTACGTATAGTAGTTTTGTGAGGAGTGATAATAGTAGCAGCGAAAAAATTGACATTTTTCGTGTTTGAGGAAGCTTTGGATCTAATCTGCGTTTGGAACTAGAAAGGAAGATATCTAACTTCAGAGACTACTGACTGTGATCTCCGCTAACGTTTGAACAATAAACAGTAATAAAAAAGAAGACGTCAGAATACTCAGAACTGATTGAAAGAGAGGAGGGAGATTTTGAGAGGAATTGAGGAGGAAAATGAAAATTATTGTCCCGTTTAATTCATTAGATTTTAATTTTAATTTAAATTAAGATGTGATTTTATATAAGAATTTTTTTATTTTAGTAAAAGAATTAGATGTAATTATTTTTAAGAACTTTTTATTATAATAAAATTTGAATTTTAAACTCAAATCGGTAAAATAAATGTAATCCATGTTTCACTTTTTCTTTCTAAGAAGGAAGTAAGCTGAAGATTTGATCATAGACCCTACAAAAAGGTGATAATGGGCAAGATTGAAGTCGGACGTTAAAGACAAACATAGTGTTCATTTATACAATTTAAATTATAATTTAAATTATATATGTGAAAAAAAATACTATATAAAAAGTTAAATTTAAATTTATGTAAATAAACACTATAACAATATGAGTTTAATCATGACTTGAGTTGTGCAAAGACGCATACATATTTTGTTTCCCCTTCTCTTGAGTTGTTAAGCAAGTTGTATTGTAACCGACTTAGTCAAGTACCTTAGTCATGTATATAAGCTAATTAATTAGTGAAATGCTTAACTGAGAATCATTTTCACAAATTCTCTCTCTCTATCTTACTCTTTCTCTCTCTAGAAATCTATACTTGTTGCTCAGTTTTCAAGCTTTCAGGTGAACTGAAAGAGACTGTTTTATACATCAGCCTGAAGGTTTTGTAAGTACAGCTTTTCGTAATCATGTGTGCCGTCTACATAAGGCTTTATATGGCTTGAACAGGCCCCTCGTGCCTGGTTTGACAAGCCAAAATATGCTTTGCTGCAGTGGGGGTTTGTGAATTCTTTGTCAGATACTTTGTCGTTTGTTAGAAGGCAACAATATGGTAAACTGATTATCATTTTAATCTGTGGATGACATTCTAATTACCGGGGATGATCCTACTGTTATTCAGAAGGTTATCAGTGAATTACATAATCAGTTTGCATTAAAGACCTTAGGTTCTGTCAGCTACTTTCTGGGTTTTGAAGCTTACAGAACAGAATAAAAAACCCAATCGAGGATGAACCTCTTTTTCCTTCTTTATCATAAATTTATAAATATATTAAAAAGAAATTTTATTGACACCCAAGTTTTTATTAAGATACTCCAATATATTTGAAAATTAAAATTATTTTTAAAAAAATTTAAAATCTCATAGTTCCCATAAATACTCGTGTACACCTCATATTTTTACACGTAAAAATCGGTTTATTTAAGATATTTACTTTCCTATTTTTTTGGCTAAATCTTTCCATTTGAAATTTTGAACTATACCAAAAAAAAAAAAAAAGAAGAAACCTTTCCATTTGAATTTTTTGTTGCTAGTTTGAATGAGATGACTTGAACCATATGGTTAATGAGCAATTTCTCCTTGACGTAAAGTATGAACTTGAAGAAAAAGGGTGTTGGGAGTTTTTTTTCTTCAAATTTTTAAAAGATATTATACAATCATCTACCCTAACTTTTTACCCAAACTCTAATAAAAGTTTTATGTTCACCAAGTAGTAAAGCAAGATTCATCAAGTTTTAATATATATATATATATATTCTCTGTTTTTACTCTTCGGTTGTTTTCTCTTCCTTTTTTTTTTCTTTGCTGCAGGAAAGTTTAATTTTACATATGGCAATACTGTCAACAAGCTGGAGTGTGATATGAATTGTTCTTCGTGACTTGAGCTTCTAAAATAAACTTAAAAGGGAAAAAAATTATAATTCTTTTTCCTCCCTTTGTTTTCTGTTCTTTTTTTTTAGCTGTAAAAGGGTTTGATTTTACTATTTTATTATTCTAATGTATTCAATATACAGGTTTTTTCTTTCTTCTTTGTGTTTTGTTTTGTTGATGAAGTTGTTCTTAGAGTTGATGTTGATTTTGGTTCGTAATTATATATTTGCAGGATGAAAAAGATGAAAGCATTGAGAATTTTTGCTCAAATCCTGGACAAAAATAAAAAAAAAAAAAAAAAAAAAAAAAAAAAAACGTTTAAATAGAAAGAATCAAATCTCACTAATCTCACTCATAAATAAAGGGAAAGTAAGGCCCGTTTAGAAATTGTATTTAAACCATAAATTAAGTTTTGATTCAAATTCTTTGTGAGAGATCAATTGACAAGAAATTTTTTTTATTCAAATTCTTCATAAGAGGAAAACATTGTAGAAGAATATGGTTTGAGTTTTGAGTATATGTACCAAACAACCCTAAAATCTTTCCAACAACCATATCTTAGAATAGGATTAAAAAATAATAATAATAAATATATATATATAGGGGTGGGCGTATATAACGGTACTTATAGAACTATATGATATTTAGTTTAAAAAAGAAAATTATTTTAATTTTAAATATGAGAGGGTGTCTAAATAAAAATTTGGAGTGCCGATAAAATTTCCCAATATTAGAAAAAATGCTAAAGATAGGCGAGAGTAAAGGCCGACCGTGGGCCTCATTTAATTTTGGCCCACTTTCACCGCCCATTATAACTAAGGTGATCTACACACACAGCAAAATTTGAATATCAAAATTTAAATTTAACAAAAAATTTAAAATATTACAAGAATAGCAAAGCTGTATATCATTTTTTATGTCATTAAAATAATGATTATATCATATTACATTGTACAAAATATGATATCATTATAATAATTACAATATGAGTTTTGCTATATTTGTAATATTTTGAAAATTATGTTAAATTTCAACGCAATGTATGAAATTTTGTCATGTAGTGTAATTATGACTTATATAACTTGCATAACTTCGGGTCCTTTTGGACTGTTCGGCTGATGAGACGAGAACATTTTGAGCCTGAAAGCCAATTATACACTTCCACACTCGAAATTCTGGAAAATACCCATGGCCTAAGGGTCCCTCAATTTCACGTGTTGAGTGAAAAACTTGTTCAGCCTACGTCCTTAACCAATTACGGTAACTTATTTGTTTATTTGTGTGTGTGTGTGTGTTTTTTTTTCCCCTCTCTCATTGAGGAAGAACTAGTACTTAAAGAAGATATCAAGCAATGCACATTTGAAAAAACATGTGAAGAAATTGCCTAAGGTTAGGAAAAGTGGAAAAAAGTTCGTTCTGAAAAGAAGTGCACTTGCATTATTCACTAGATTAAACAGAAGCGCATATAACCCAGAAAGCGCATTTAATTAAAAGTAAAAAGCACCTTCTGATGAGAATTTACCCTTCCGCGTTGATTTGTACTTCTGCAATCTTTCATAAATGTCGCTGTTGTGTTCCAGTATTCTTCGCAATGCTATCCAGATACATCTTAACCCGAGTTTGGTTCATCTCGAATATGAACGGCATTCGTTTAATCTGAAAATCCACATGTATGGCATTATTAGTATATATTTATGTGTCAAATAAGAAGCATCTTATCATTTTGTTTTTTGGCTGTGTATTAGATCCTAGTTTGAGGTTTCAAAATTAACCTACATCACTGGTTTTATTTGAGAATCAAAGGAAGTGGGGAAATAACCATGAATTTAACATCATCCCCGCTCACGTGTAGTATGGGAGAAAATAACAATATTCAGGCTTAACATGTAACTACTTGATAAAAGCCCCAACACGTGCTGAATTCATAGACTAGAGAGCTCACAACTTCAACAATCTAAAAATTATAAGGAAAAAACAAGTAACGAAAGACCTCGCAGAAACTTTAGAAACTCTTTTCTCCCTCTTCACATATGATTTGAATTTTCTATGCAAATTCAAATGATGCTATGGACAACAGTTGCTTGACGATGACCCGATAAACCACGATAGTGATGTCTTCTAGGTTCCTAAAGCTGCTAAATTATTCAACTAAAAATGTTGACCTAAACAGACGTGTTCTCCAACAATGGAAGAAATCTTAGCTTGCATAGCTCAAGTTCGTGAGCTGTTTGCGTACAGCCAGCGTATAGGAATAAAATTACATGTCAAACAAACATATTAATGAGACAAGCATAGAGAATGGTGACCAGAATTTTTCTTTTCAATTTGATATAAGGAACAAGAGGAACATACCTCAATCAAGCAACTGGAATTAAGGCTTATACTCTGTTTAGGACCCACTTCTCTGCTATTCACAGATATTGAGGACTTTCCAAGGTTTTTGAGATAGAAAGATCCACCCTTGTCCAACTTTATAATAGCCTAGCAAAAGCGGAAACAAAGAAACGAAAATGTCAACCTCACTTGAAGATAAAGTAACTTCTGCCCTTGAGATTGTTTGTAAGGGTTACGACCATACATATGCAGTGTTGACATTTTGTGTAAAAATTTGGAAGCTTTGATCTCTACATCATCATATCTTTAACTCATACAAGATGTGTGAATGCGAATGGTGAATATTTAATCACTATAGGTGATCAAAGAACCTCTTACCTGCTTCCGTGATATCTTATTGGCACGGCTTTCTCTTCCTAAGTCAATGTCAACAGTCATGTCTTCTGTTGCTCTACCAAGTAAAACCTGCATAAAAAATATTACTCATTTAATAGCAGCACCAAAAGTTGGCTGATATAACAGTAACGAGCATCGTATATCCGTATTGCATTACTCTAGTCCATAACATACTTGAAATTCCATTAAGTCCAATTAGTAGTATTTTCTGATTTAGGATTTTGTAAGGGTTGTGGAAGCTTTCAGATTATTAAAATAAAAATTATAGCAGTTGTAGCAGCAGCAGCATATATCTTTGTATTGTGTTACTCTAGTTCATAACAAATTTAAACTTCTATAGACAGAGGATTAAAGTCTAAAACCTTCTAAGTTTGTAAGGGTTGTGGAAGCACCACCACCACTGACAAGGACCCTAAAAGACAACCCTAAGTGCGCAGCTAGAGTCATAGAATTATAGTACCTCAGGTTTCTTAATATAGTGCTTTGAATGGCGTCCGTACAAAATGGCAAGTGCTCCATGAGATGCAATAGCTCGTTGCATATAAGAATGAGCACTCTGTTCCAGCCTTATGATTACCCTCATAGTGCCCTCACGCTGATATTTTGCGACTGCATATATATACAGAAGAACAAAAAAACTCTGAACCATGAGACGGAATTACATAGGGCACGTTTGGTAACTTGTTTTAAGAGTTTTTGGACTTAAGCAGAAAACTGAGAAGCTTTAAAAACACGTTTGGTAAAATTGATGAACTTGAAAAACACTGATGTTCAACGAAGAGTGTCATATCAACCAAATTGGTATTTAAGAATGATAGGGAATTATTGGCATTTAGAAAAGGGGCAATTATGATTAAGGAAGTCAATAATAGAAATATCACTATTATAAAGGGGTAGTTTTTAACTTTTCCCAAAGAAAAAAGGTGACTAAAGATTTATCATGGAAGGAAAAGCACATGCTTGTAGCACCACCAGGTTTTTCCAATAATCTGCAATTAACTGAAAGATGGCATGATATCCATTGTTTACCGCAAATGATAAATATTTATCTGAACAAGCAACATGTAAAAGTAACGTCTGAGAGCATGTAATTTAGGAAAACCAAAACCCCCCAATACAAAATGTCTCCCTAAATGCCAAATCTGACTTGATTATTACCTTCCTCACTAGAAGTGAAATTCCTATCATCCGGATCCAAGTCCATGTCAAGTATCTGCAGGTCAGGTGCAAAGACAAATTAAAATCTAAAGGACATATAAATAATAAATAACGCCTGAAAATGGACGAGTGTGTGTGTGTGTGTGTGTGTGTGTGTGTGTGAGAGAGAGAGAGAGAGAGAGAATTTTCCATATATGTTCAGTTCATCCTACAGTACCGACTGAAACATAGCACAACCAAATAATCTATAATAGGCAACAATCTAAATTCAACTGACAAAGATTAGCCAAGCAATTCTGATTCTTTACTCAGCTAGGGAACTATAGAATCCTAATTTGGAAAGAGAAAAAAAAAAAAAACAAAAGAAAACAAAAACAAATAATAAGACTTAAGACGAGATAAATATCGAGACTAATTATAACGATGAATAAACCCAACAAAAAAAATCTCTTATAATAATATCTATTATCTGATATCACGTTTCGCATCAAATAATCAAACTACACCTATTAACAAGGTATTATAGTAGTCGAGGTTACCAATGCCTCAATATCTGAATAGCAAGGAATATCATCATCACTCTCAAAAGGGGTACAATCTTGATCTGCTGTTGGAGCATTTACAACTGGTTCAGAAACAGCAACATTCATGGACGTCAATTCAGCATTTATGGACTCTTGATCTCTGATTGGAGCTGACACATCATCCTCCTCTTTGATGATAATGGAATTTGTATGAGCATAGCTTTTAACACTAGTGGAGCCTAAAGGCGGCCTCTTTATAGAATAATTGGTCAAGCTGAGATGTTTTGCTGACAACATTTCTTTAGTCTCTTCCTTCCGCATCTCAGGGAGAAGTGTCTTCGTGCTTGTATTTGCTGCAATAATCTGATTACCTATACTCGAAATACCAGCGACCCTAAATGCCACATTAGCCGAGTCCGACATAGAAACTGCAGATTTAACCCCAAAATTACTACCCGGAGGATTCAGACCCATTTCTTGGATAGCATGTGATCCTATCATCTGAGATGATACATGAGACTCTCCAGCAGTTTTTCGTTCTTTATGCATCAGGCTAGGTCCCCTGTTATTAGTTCTTTGATTATTAGAGACGCCCTTTATAGATAAAGAACGTGGTTTATTAGCTCCTTGAAACTTCGGTTGTGATGTAGAAGCCTTTGATGCTCGGTGATTCGGTAGAAAAACATCATCATTGCATGGAATTTCAGGGTCCTCAGTATTCAGCGTGCAGCAAATAACCCCATCTTTATATTCAGGAAACTGATTATTTGCAGCTGATACAGATGCTTGCATCTGGGTTGGTGCATCGTAAGACATTTGTTCATCACAATTGCTTGCCGCTTTATTGTCAAGTGGCTCTGCACGACACTGATCAGATGAATCCGTAGTACGCACAGCTGCGGCTACCGATGTCTCCAGTTCAGTTATATTGTTTGTTTGTTCTTGGCAAGCATCATTTGGAGAATTCAACAAAAGTGAGCTCAGGCCGTCATAGTATGACTTATCAATCATATCTTTTCCATCGGCGTTCATAAACAGAAGCTCTTCCTCATTGGTAAAGTTTAGAAGAGAATTAGATAACTCTTCCAAATAACCTTCAGGGCTATTATGGATTTGAAAATCATCATAGGCCATTTCCATTTTCACCTTGGCGCATGAGTGAACATTGTACCCAGATGTTCTTGTGCTTCCAGCATCATAATCATCAGGAAGGTGAAAAGTATCACCAGCGCAGAGATCCTTGTCTTCCAGACCAATGTCTACTGGCAAAGCGGGTGCAGAGACTGTTTTCCAGATAGGCAGTGGAGATGAATACTCCATGTTGTTAAATGGTGCGACACATCCTGAAACAGGAGAATTAAAGACCTTATTCTCTTCAAATTCAAGGCACATGTTTGACTGATCACCATTAACTTGATCAAATGCAGGAGGGGATTTCATTCCTAGCTCAACAGCTTTGTGGAGGTTGTGTTCTGGCAAATCTTTTGGACGCATATTTTCTTCAATAATATGAGGAATTTCTTTATGTATATTATTTTGCTCGAACAGAAAGTTTTCTTCAACTGGGTTCTGATGTCCGGTGGGGAAGGTATTGATAGTTGCACCACCACTAGTAGCAACAGCACTGCCATCCATCAGATTGTTTGGAAAAGCATGAGTCATTGTATCCATTCCTGAAACCCCAAGCCCAAAAGGATTAGAGATTGGATTGCCGGGGATGCAATTTCCAGATAAGGGCCCATCTCCATTTCCAACATAAGTACTGTTAGTGGGGGCAACAAGGAAACTGAGATCCATTGAATCAAAGGGTTCACTGCAGACCCTTTTACGCAGAGCATAGTAACATTTACGAATGCTCTCCGCTTTTCTCTTCCCTGTAACAGATTTGTTATCTTTTGAATGTCCAAATTTATTGAGTTTTGATATTAGTGTTGAAGCAGAACGCTCAAACTCAAGCATTTTTGTGGATGCTTCAACAGAAACAACTGGATCATAAAGAATAGAAAACCAGCGATCTTCCAGTTCTCGAACAGTAAATCTCCGAGAAAATTGCACAGCACCTTTAGCAAGTGACTCCAAGGAAGCACCAGCCTGTGAACAGAATAAAGACATTAATAACTCCACGTGGAAATTCGTGTAACTGATTCAGGTGATAAATATAGCTAAAGGGAACAGACTATGTCCCCAGGAAAAGACAATACAAAATTATAAGTTCCAAGTAATTAAGTGGAACAAAATTATCGAAATTAGTACGTATACAGCACATAGAACGGAAATATTGGACAGAAAATCACCCAAGCTATCTGATTATGGACATTTAAACGAGTAAATGCATGGAATTCAAAATAAAGTGAGATAACACCAGAGATTATAAACTCATTAAGTTTTTCCCAATCCGCAATAAAATTCAAACATTAAACGGGCCAAATAGTTCCCTATCAGCGATCCAGTTGCTCTATGCACTTATGCTTTTATTCCTCTTTTGAGGAGCTCAAAAAGGGTAATATTATAGTGTCAGCAAATAAGATGATTTTAAAATTCCTTTCTGGTACACAATATGAATCAAAATGCCCACGATTACGTGACGTAATCACAAATGTTCATATTTTCAGGTGGGGACAATGTGGCTAGGGGAAATTATTTGTTTTCCCAGTTGTCCACAGCAATGTTGGTAATGTCAAATTCGACAAATTACATAGATAATGGTGAAAATGGCCATTATCTCCAGAAAAAGTGTTTAGCAATGGGGATGTAGAATCCTAGTAAAAGTACAATAATTCATTATATTTTAAAATGTTCCCCACTACACTATTCAATGCATGAAGTCAAAATTTCCGACCCCGAAAATCATCCACTCATCAAGTTCCCCAAGTCTTGGCGTCAGCCATGTGCCTCAGCAATGCTTACAATTTCATTATTAAAGGTTAGACGTCAATGCCCGCTTACTGTGCCAAAATTCAAGAAAACCATTGATCTAAGAAAACTTTTCCAGGAAACCAAAAAAAAAAAAAAAAACATCCATCTAACACCAATGACATAAACATCTGAGCACTTGGTAACCAAAAATGATGTAATAAAAAGAATACGCTGGTGGACGGTTCATACAAAATCGAGCCCCAAAGCCTCCTAATTGGAATACCTGTTTCCACATTTAATAGCAATGAAGTACAGGACATTAGATTACATTGTCCGGGCAAGAACTTTGAAGTTATGTTTTAAGTTTCTAAAACATCATCTTCATACAATGACAGAAACAGACATTACCAAATTGTTTACATTTCTTTTTTATTATTATAATTATTTTAAGATTATTTTCATTTCGAAACCTGAAATTTCTTCAAAATTAAAAATCCACTCCATTCTAATCCCACTATTTATCAGCAGAAACCAGTTACGGGTTCGCAATATGATTAGTTCTACACTTTTTCCAATCCCCTATTTAGCATTGGCGAAATTTCTTCATTTGATTCCTTATCTCTAAAACTTAAATTTTGGCAATAACGATAGATAGCTGGTCAGAATCTAAAGCACTCTAATGACATTAAAAACAAAAAAAAACAAAAAACAAAAAAAAAAAACAGCAACAACTTGAAGCTACTCCAAAGTAACAAATAAAAACGAAATAAGTGACTACAGCGATTTCTCAACAATCCAAGAAAAAAGAAAAAGAAAACAATGAATGGCGGTTATAAAATTACCTCGACGGCGTTCTTCAGCAAAAGGTCGTCTTCGGGAATCCAAGAAGAGACTGGAGCAAGAGCGCCCATAGCTGAGCTTCAACAACTATTCTCTCTCTCTCTCTCTCTCTCTATTTCGATTTTGATTTTTCTGCGAATGAAAGTTTTTCTTTGAGAGTGACATACAGAGGAAAAGAAAACGAAAAATTAAGAAAATTTATGTAAAAGAATTACCTAATATAAATTGGGGTTGGGCGGACGCAGAGTAGCAAAAGGAGCAGGAAGGAGAGGTTTTGAAACGTGGACAGTCGATTTGGCGGTCTCGAATGGCCAGTAATTTCATGGAATTTCCATGAAATCCATGTCAAGTTAGGGCACGTGCTACTTTTCCCCTAAAATCTTCTCTTCTCGCTCTCTTTTTCTGGTGACAATAACTGGATCCTTTTTTTATTTTTTATTTTTCCTTTTTTTCTCTTTTGGGCGAGCTCCTGAGTTCTGCCTCCGTGCCTCGTACTTAGGTTAACCGCTGACCGAAGAGTCTGGTGGCAAGTTTTTTTTTTTTTTTTTTTTTTTTGGTGCCACCAAAAATGTTGTTTTTAATTAAAAATAACTTATTAGACAATAGACATTAGATCATAGAAAAAAATGAAATTCAAGCTAAATTTGAGCCCGTAATTTTCAGGTGTGACCTAAAGATGTTTGTTTTATGTATTCATCATTCATTTTGAATCATGATTCATCATTCTCTACAGAATTTTTCTCTCACAAAAAACACACGTAAAACGAAAATAATTTTGAATCTATGAACCAAACGTCCACTAATAGTTCAAACCTTTTATTTTGTAACCAGTGTTTAACATCTAAAAAACCATTATATGATACAAGCGAATTTATCAACTGTTAGCGTTGGAATGATCACTTAATAGTATCCTAGATGAATTTTTTATCTAAGAATTGAACATGTTTCATACAAACGGTAAGATCGTTAGGATAATTGTCTAAGGTTCCTTTAAGTTGAGAATTTCATTATTAGTAAATCATTAACACTACAAGAAAACTTAGTGCCGACACTTTTAGCGTCATTAAAAGTCGGGTTGTAAGTCATTGCTAAAAGCGGTCGTTACTATGTCCTTTGGATTGGTCTAAAATTGACAAAAGGCCCCATTTTTAACAACGAGATGTCATCGCTAAAACCTCATACAATGACTTGTACTTTGCACGGCCACATCCAGATTTTAGCAACAATGGTTGTCATCACTAAAAATCCTTGCACGAAATATACGCGGGATGGAATTTGTTTTGGCGCCCAAAATGACTTTTGGCGACGACCACTGTTGGAGTTAAAAATCTAAAACAAAATTTGGGCGGCAAAAGATGTTGTCTTTGGCACCTAAATTATTTTGGGTGCTCTAAGGGTGGGTTTGGTATTAATTTTAAGAGAGAAAAAGTACTTATTGAGACAGCAAAAATCTAAAAAGTTGTTTGGTAAAAATCAAAATAGTAGATTTTTGAATAATTTTCCCTCAACCTGAAGCTAAAAGCATAATCAACCTAAAGGCTAATTCTGATTTCAGCTTATGTGGGAATCGGTTTGAGAGTTTAATGAAATTTTTTTATTCTCAATTTTACCCCCAATGAAATCTCAAATTTACCACCTGATAATCACATTTTCAGATCTGCTTCTGTTCTCATCTCCCCTTTCTCCGTTCTGTCTCCTCTCTGCTCTCTCCATTATCTATCTTCTCTGGCTCCGTTCTGTCTCTTCTCTCCATCCAAAGCGATCTTCCCGGGCTCCTTTCGCCGGTCTCTCTCTCCGTTCGCCCACCGAGTGCTCGTTTGGGTTCTCCACCGTGCACTTGTCAATTTGCCAGTCTCCCATCTACTCACCTACACATATATGCGTTGAAAAAATTCTAAATCCCCACATTTTTATTACCCACACATGTCAAAAATATATCTAGGTAAAAATAAGTTTTACCCACATATTTTTATGTGTGGCTAAAAAATGTGCGGGTAAAACTCCTTATGTTTTGTAGTGTAAGTGAATTTCGTATTTACTCGTAAATACTACATTTAGTTAAAAATTTAACCACTGACTTCAATTACAGTCAAATATTGTATTTATCAGTTAATATCGTATTTATCGGTAATTAACATATTTATCTTAAAATTTCACAGCAACTAGTAAATACTGTATTTATAAAAAAAAAAAAAATTTGCCACCGATATTAGTAACTGGTAAACACCGCATTTACTTAAAAATCCGGCCGTCAGAGACAACTACCGGTAAATATTGTATTTACACATTATTTACCTATATTGTATTTTATTTTTATTTTTATTTTTATTTTTTTGAATTCACAATAATTAGTTAGCTTTTATTCTCTAAAGAATTCAGACATTTAAGCAATCCCTTGAATTAGATCAAGCTTTCATCTTGCGAGGTAAAACTGTAGATAAGCAAGCACAACTGCACAAGACGCAAAAGCACATGTAAACAACGTAAAAAGAAGCGGAACATATGTTCGATTAAAGGTCAAATACTGCGACATTGTTAATCTAAAAGAAGCAGAAATTCCACCATAAATATAGTTCATAAATAAAGCTGAATCTGTCATTTAAGCAATACTATTACGAACCATATTCCTTCAAGGAAACATAAGTCTGAATGTCTTCAAACTTTGGGACAGGCCGATTACTATTTTAAGAAGATGTATGAGCTGCCGATTCAGTTTGATCGTCAAGATTGGATTGGTTAACACTGAACTCGCTAATATAATCGGAGCAAGTGGTAAGAAGTGATTTGGTTTCGGTGTCAAGAGCCAGCTGATTACGGTGCAGGCCAGAAGCAAATGCGCGAGGAATTCCATAATCGTATACACCTCCATTGTCTACTACCCCATAGTGTGGATCATCCAGAGCACCCTGATGCGAAAAAGGGGAAAAAAATGCAGTTTCATTATCTACATCTGCTATAGCATTAAGGCCGGAGACGTAAAAGCAATATTTAAAGAACGTCTTTCGAGCTTAAAAGTTCGGTGCTTACATTGAAACCAGATCGAAGATCTTCGCTCGTTTGTTCCAGGAACCTTAGCTGCAGCCACATAAAAAGGAAAAGTGGAAACAAACTTTTACCAAAACAACTCCCAAAGAAGTCAGAATAGATAATAAGAAAATGCGGAAGCCAAAGTTACGAATTACCTTCTTCCTGCAAGTATCAACCTGACATTTCATCTGGAAAAACTATCAGTAATTGAGTAAGCATGTTAGCTTGAATTAGGGCAACCATAGGCAGATATTTCATATATGGCAATTACATACAATGATTATCACGTATGCAACCAATTAAACATAGAAAATATACATACATATTTAAGTCGAGACCAATGATGTTTGTCTTGTTTACGAATAAAAAGAAGTCTTTGTACTTATCGAGATTCGAGTGAAAATACTTTTTTATTTTCCATCAAGTACATAAATAAAGTCAAATATGTGTTTGACTCCTCGAGATTCCAACTTTTTCAATGTCCCGTTCCAAGGATACAGATCGTATTAATTAGCCATTTTCCAATACATTATACAATAGTGAAGGTAGAAAAAGCAACTCATGTAATATTTTGACGATCAATTCAAAAACTGCATCGAGGGCTATAATTCACAAGACTACTTGGACTATATAGTATAAATTTCCAACAGGGCAGGAGATAGGTTTGACCAAAAAACTTGACATGCATAAGTTAAGATTTCGCATTACCAATATACGAACCACGGAATATAGGATTAAATTGGTACATGAAAAACTTTTGTAATAACAAAAGAATTTTTTTTTTAGTTGTACATCTTACCTTGCGTGTGCGAAGAGCCTCCAAAGCATCTTCCATCTCACGGTCAAGAGCAAGCAGTTCATCGAAGCTCAGATTGCTCAGACTTTCTCCCTTCCTGTGACTGTCAATCATTTGGAATCTCGATTACTTTACCATACACCCAAAAAAAAAAAAAAAAAAAAAGGAAAAAGAACAAAATTTACATTCCATCTTTACCTGATCTGCTTCTGAAGACTCCGATTTGTCACTTTCAGCTCTTTCAGCCTCTCTTCCATTCTCTGCACACAAGATCAACACGCATATAACCAAAATATGCTATTTCAGTGATGAGAAAAAGAAAAGGAAAAGGAGAGACAGAAAGAGAGAGACCTCATAGTGAGAGCTCCAAAGATCGATTCCTTTAGTCTTTTGATACAAATCAAGTATTTGCTTCCTTCTGAATTATAAAAATTTGATGAAAACAAAATTAAAATCAGAAACCAGGCTAATCCATGCAGAGATCTAGGGTTTCAGAGGCTGTACGTGGTGGAGGCGCTAATATATTCATGAAGTCTACCGTTGCCGGAAATTATGATAATAGAAACCTTAGCATTATAAAGAACGGTGAGCTCCTGGGCCATCTTGAAGAGGCCGTTGCGTCTCTTAGCATAAGTGATTATCCGGTTGGTGATGTTTTCTATCCTCTTGATCTGGATCTTCCTTCTCGCCATCTCACTTTCTCTCTCCTCCGATCTCAAACCCCAGCTGGAAATTTCCTATTCCTCTCTCCTACAAAACGCAAAGGGAGTGGGTAAAAACGAGTAGAGATTTAAGAGGAGAGAAAAGGGCGAGAGTGAAACTGAGGCCATTGTCGAAAATGGAAAGAGGGTTTGGCGAGTTGGCGAAAGGCTTCACAGGAAGTTGACGAAACGGGGATATAGAAATAAGGGAAGTAATATTGGTCCATCCGTCATCGTTACTTTGGGGCAGATTCGGAGCTGTACATTATTGAAGTGGGGGCCACAGGTCACTGTTTTCCGTCCCTCACCGTCAATTGCCGTTTTCGGGGTCGAGACGTATGAGAGTAGGAATGTTGAGGGTTTTGTTTCGACTTAAAGAGGAAGGGAGAGAGAGTAAAGGAGCGTGAACTCTCTGGTTTTCTTCTTCCCCAAGGAAGTGTTCCATTCGAGTTGGAACTTTTTTTTTTTTTTTAAGACCCGACTGTGGATAGGCGCGCTTACCTGGCTTCCACTTCTTGGATTCTTTTTTTAGTTAAGAACTCTCTTACTTACAAAGTACTGATAAAAAATGGGATCATATATTTGCTTGACATATTATGCTTTTTACGAAGCAATATAAAAAGGTATTACAATATATATATATATATATATATAGCTAGCGTTAGTTTTTATTTTTACATTTTCTTGAATCTCACGTCATAAGAAAATCCCCATAATTTGGAGGAAAAATAAACATATACATGTAGGAAGTTATAGAAGTGCCCCACCACACGCATCCAACTGATTAAGAACTCTGTCATTTTTTTTATTAACTGTCTACAAAATTTTTACCTTTGTAAAGATTATTGATATTAAAAGTTGGATGCCAACAGTAACGTCACATTAATAACGATACAGAACTTTTAAGGAATGATGTTTGGTCACAGAACATAAATGAACAAAAAAAAAAGTGTCAACTGCGACAACCGTTCATCTCGATGGAAGCATAGAAGCCAGTTTTAGTAGTTAACACAGAACAAGCAGTTTATATATATAGTCAATATATAAAGCTGAATACAGATCCTTCTTATGATAATACTACGCACACTTTCTTTTTGTGCTTGAAACATATATTACTATGGACTATATTCCTTTAGGGATGCTTCAAATTTGGATGTCTTAGAATTTGGGGACACCCCAAGTGGTGATAACTGATGATTCGGCTTTAGGCTGAAAATTAGGCTGATTAAGTTGCAGGCCAAGAGCAAGTAAGCTAGGAAATGCATTTGGATATCCAGCAATGGAATCATTATAATGCCCTCCAGCGCCCTCAAGTAACGCGTAGTCTGGATCATCCTTAATATCCTAACAAAAAAAAAAAAAAAACACAATTATTTGAAGTAGAAGAGTGTATATTATTATAAGCTTTGCTGTGAGATGCTTACATCGGTTAGAAAAGCGTTGTTTATTTGTTTTGCTCGCTTTAACTGCAACCACATAAGAAAAAAGAACAGTAATGAGAGTTAAAAAAGACATTTCCATCAACATAAGCTCCTAAAAGGATTTCTCCAATTAAATTGAAAAAAGAAAACGAGTTTGTTCTATGATTCTATCTACTTGGTTCTCTTCTTGAACTCCTTTATTCCCTTAGTCACATCAATTCACACCATCGAACTATCCTTATTTCTTTAGAAAATTGATGTTCGTAACAAAACTTTAACAAATTGATGGAAATGAAAATGATAAAATATGGATCATAAAGAGGAATACCAATTAAGAACGAAGGGTTAATCCACAAAGTCCCTGAGATTTACCCTCAATTGCACTTTGGTCCTTGACTTTTAAAATGCTTAATCCTAAGATTTTACTTTATTTCAGTTTTAGTCATTCTATTCGCTAGGTGTTAAATATTTGACAGAGTCTATATAAATTAGAAACTAAAATTAGAAACAACTAAAATTTAGGTACTATCTATGAAAATTATTTTTTTGTTTTGTTTTAGTCTCTAAATTTTAAATGTTTTCAGTTTCAATCTCTAATTTTCACATATTTTCTTAAATATTTAACAACTAACTAATAAAAAAATTGAATTAAAACAGAATAAAATTTAAGAGACAAACTATAAAACATTTTAAAAATCATAGACTAAATTAAGATTAAAATAAATCTTAAAGAGGGAAAATAATCCAAGTATGAATTACAATCACCTTTTTGTTGGTAGTATCAATCTGATTTGACATCACCTTGTACTGTAAAGAGACAAGAAGTAAGTACGTCAGCTTAATTTCAGCCCAAAAAAAAAAAGTTGATTTACACTGATTACTAAGCATCTATACAGCAACGTCAAATCTATTTGGACCGTGGCATGTGTATTAATATCATGCAAGAAAAGTCTAAATGAATATGCAAAGGCCTATTTTTTTCACCCATATTGCTACTGCGAAGTACTAGGGGGAAAAAAAAGAGTAACACTAATTCAATAACTTTAAGGGGAAGGCAAAAAATGGTGGACAAAAGCATGGACAATGTTTCGGAAAATACTTTAACGCAACTGCAATAATTTCTATGCGAACAACATGGAAAATTTACGATGAAACAAAATTTCTTAGAATAAAGTGAGATGCTTTTTCCTCTCAAATGCGGATGTTTCTTCATGAGTTATATATAGACTTAACGAGGAGAACAATATTGCATTAATTTGGATCCTACCAAATGTCGTCTTTCTCTTGGTCCCCTACGTTCCTTGGATGCACATCACAAATTATTATCGCTTTATTTAAAATATATAGAAACATAAACGTTAAATAAAATGCAGCTAATGACATATTTTGGAAATCAATTCAAAGATTGCAGCAACAAGCCAATTTATACAGAGCGGAAGATGGAAATTCATAATGATCAAAGTTGACCAAAAGAATTGGCTAATTACCATGCATAAAAAAAATACCTTGTATCAATCACCAGCAATTAATACCATTGGATTATTGTTTTTTAGGCTATACCTTTCCGGCTACACTAGATTATTTTTGCCCTTAGTATATGCATCCACAACACAATTTTTAAGGCTGTGACTTGAGACCTTAATATAAGAGAGAACACCATTTATACAATCTACAAGAGAAATTTAGTTTTTAACTTAAATGCATCATATACAACAAAAAATAAAAATATAAAAAGAACTCATGAACAAATTTTAGCAAACTCCGATTATTTCCTGGTACCCGCAACAAACTATATGATTAAATGGTTGCAGTTCAGATATGAGATATCCACATACTAATCTTGGATTAAATATGTCAATATTAATGTAAATCCATAAAGCATTTTCGAGTTCACATTACGATAAAACGAGAAATAAGAAAAGAAGAGAAATGTTCAATGGCGGTAATTAATTATAACCCTAGATAGTAGTAGAACATATGATCTGACCTTGCGTTCACGAATAACTTTCGCAGCACTTTCCATTTCTTGTTCAAGATCATGTAGTTCCTTAAAGTTCAAACCATCTAGACATTGACCCATCCTCTGACTATCAATAGTTTTGCCAAAACGAAAAAAAAATATAATTAACCACAAATTATGAGATTCACATATTAAAAGGAAAGAAAAAAGAAATTTTTTACAATATCGCTCTCACCTGATCTGCATCCGAAGATTTCTATTTTTCTCTTCCAATATTCTTTTGTGCTCTTGCATTTTCTGCACAAATAATTACACAAATATAACCAAAAAGCTTCCGGACAAGAGAGAGAAAGTGAGGTGGAAAGAGAAAGAAAGACCTCATATTGTGAGCTCCAAAGATCCGTCCCTGAGGTCCTTTCGTACAGATCGATTAATTCCTTCGTTCTAGAAACAACCATACATATATATAGAATAAAAAAATAACAAATTAAAAAAAATTGTCAACCGTGAAGTGATCTAGGGTTTGGTAAGTGTTGCGTACGAGGTGGATTCGCTGGTGTATTCATGGAGTTTTCCGGTGCCGGAAAGTATGATAATTGAAACCTTGGCGTCGCAGAGAACGCTAAGCTCCTGCGCCTTCTTGAGAAGACCGTTGCGTCTCTTCGAGTACGTGACCTGCCTGTTGGTCGGATTCTCTATCTTCTGGATCAGAATCTTCCCTCTTGCCATCTCTCTCTCTCCTCCGATCTCAGAAACAACTACACGCTTTCTCTCTCTTTCTCTTTCTTTCTTCTTTTCCCGTCTGCAGAAAACGAAAATGAAGAGAAATAGGGAGTCCAAGGGCACTGTCGAAAATGGAAAGGAAGGGGTTTGGGTTGGCGAAAGGAGTCTGAAGCGAGTGACGAAACTGGGAAAGGAGTAGTATTCGTCTCGTCATTGTTGCCAATTGGTAATTGGTTGGTTGAATCAGAACCGCTCATTTTGATGTGGGGACCACCACTGCTTTTCTTTCCGTCTTCTACACCGTCAAAAGAAACCCATCGGTTTCCCGTTGTGACGTTGATCAAAGGCTGTTAAAGAAGGGTTTGGTTTCGGTTAGTCACCCTTGTTACGATATAACGTGGACTGGGGAGAGCAAACTCTGGTCTTTTTCTTTTTTCTTTTTTTTTTTTCTTTTTTTTTTTTTTTTTGCTGAAGGAGAACAAACTCTGGTCGTTGCCGCGACTTACATTTCACGCTCCATTTTTTTCAAATAATAATTATAACTTTTTTATCTTTATAAATTGAGAAAAGTGCAAAACTATCCGTTTATAATAGTCACATTTTTATTATTGACCTCTTTTATCATAATTATCTTTTTATTAGAATAAATCAACTAAAACAACTGAAACAAAAGGCGTAATACTCAATAAAAGGAAACATATTGATGATTGCACATTTTTAAGGGTCAATTTTAGAAACAAATTTCATATAAATTTGAACCTCATCTTCAAAATTTTTCAAAACCTAAACCAGCTCCAATTAGTGAAAAGAAAAACTACAAATAGTCAAATGCCATAAATTTTGAATTCAAGTAGAATTTTAAATAGTTAAAATTTATTAGAAAAGATTAATACTTAATTTAATTAGATGGATTAAAACTCTTTAGATGTCAAAATTTATTTTGATTATAAATCTAGATTGGTGAAATTAATTATACATATTTGATTCCTCTTAAAAATTTCAGGCTGCACCGACCGCTAAGGATTATTTTGATCCCTTTTGCCTAAGGATTATTTTGATTATAATCAAAACAAATTTTGACATCTAAAGAGAAATTTACTCTCTCTTTATTCGAACAAATTACAACTTTCCGCTAAGGATTATTTTGTCCCTTTTGCCTCGAATAAAGAGAAAGTAAAAAGGGATAAAAGTGCCAAAAGGATAGTGATTTTAGATGAAACTTACTAAAGAGTATAAAGTTCAATTTAATTTCACTTTAAAATTAAATTTTGATGGCGTGCTTGAAAATAAAAGGCAATAAAAGATAGTGATGCGTTTAAAATCCCTTTTCTTATCGGTGTTATTACATAAATATCCACTGTTTTTTAATATCATATTATTTATGTCGTACCATCCCCATTTTGATCTTCTCTTTTCCCCTTTTCTTTGCAACACTTCGGATGAGATGTGTTCTGGTGACGGTGCTCAAGTGAGATTTGGTCAGCAAAACTAGTTTGGTTCTTTTCGTCTCATCATTCTGAGTCCGTAAATACTGAAATCACCTAGGTCGGAGGTCGGACGACAGAAATATCACAATCAAAAGTTTTGAGTGTTTCGGAACTTCGGCCAACAAGTCCGGCCTCCTCCGGTAGAACTAGCAACCGCAAGGCATGATCCTAGACTCAGTGCGTTGAGAGCTTTCAAATCAGCTAGGAGTTGTCAAAAATGGACGCCGGAAGCTCGACGGAGGTTGTTGGTTGTCCACGGAGAAGATAAGAGAAAGGGAGAGGAGAGAGAGAGAATTCGTAGTAGTAGTATTAATAATAATGATGATGATGTTAAAAATATTTGAGAAATATATATTCTATAGGATATAAAAAATAACCTACCGGATATGAAAAATATTTCTGTATACTACGCAAAATAACCTACTAGAATATGAAAAATAAGCTACATGATATAGAAAAGGGAAAAAAAATCTACGGGATATGATAGATAACCTACAAGATATGAAAGCTAACTTATAGGCACTACAACAAAAAGGGTTATAATTAGCGACAACATTATTAGCGACGACATGTCGTTGCACAAAATTTCACTATTTGTGACGACATATCGTCGCTAAAATTTGACAAATTATTCACGACGACATGTCGTCGCTAATATCCGTTGGCGCCAAAACCAATCTAGCGCCAAAAATTTGGGCGCCAGTTTGTCCCTTATTTGCGACAACATGTCGTCGCAAATATTGATAGTTATAGCTGGCGGTGACGTGGCCAAAAAGAGGCAAAAAATTTGGCGGTTTTCCGCGAATAGGTTCCAGATATTTCTTTATCTTTTGCGACAACATATTGAAAAGTCGTCACAAAAAATAGTTCCAGAAAATTCTTTTTAGGATGACTGTTTTTGCGACGACACGTGTCGTCACAAAAAAGGGTTCTAGAAAATTCTATCAAACGACTATTTTTTGCGACGACTTATTTAATAATGTCGCCGCAAATAACTGGGAATTCAAATTTTTCAAAAAAAAAAGGGCGGAAACTTTGGCGGTTTCCTTAAATTATTTGCGACAACATGTTAACAAAGTCGTCGCAAAAAATGAGCACGGGTATATTCCTCAAGAATATTCTCATAAACATTAATGAGGTGAAGAAGAACGACGTCGTTTTTATACTAATTGCGACGACTATTTAACATTTTTTGCGATGACATAATGTCGTCGTAAAAATCCACCTGCATAAATGCGATCGCATAACTCTTTTCTCTATTTTTTTCGGTGACCCTCTCAGTTTTCTCTCTCCTTCTCCATCCAAAATCTCTAAAAACCATCCAAAAACTCTAAAAAAAGCGTAAATATATTATTTTGTCTTCAAATCCTTCATTTGTGGAGAAAAATATTCAGAAAAATTCCAAAAAAACAAAGTTTTCACCTCGCCGTCGCCACAGATTCAGAATATTCACGGTGCCCTATTTACCATATTAGTTATTTTTATGGTAAAATAAATAACAATTAATTAAACAATATAAACATATAAAACATTAAAAGTTAAAAATAAAAGAAAGATAATTTTAAATTTCATATATATTATATAATAGATTATACTTAAAATTTTATATTATAGCATATTATACATAATATATCTAATTTAAAAATATGACATAATTAAACAAGACGGGTAAATCAAGAATATGGTCGGGGACTTCTAAACTCATTTCTGCCCCGCGATCCACAGTGAATTTTAACACGTTTACAATCTAAATCCATTTGAAGCGGATTTTTTTCACCCCGTTTAATGCAGGTCTCTGCAGATAAATGAATTAACAAGTAAACTAGTCTATTATTAGCCCCTTATACTAATCATAGGTAAGTAATCACTTTTTAGGCCGAAACTCTTTTTTATGAGAACATAGATTCGAACCATGAGCAATAAGTGAAGGAAACTTAGGGCATGCATCCTTAGCACCATGAACCACCACTGGTGATTAAAAAGCCTCATTTAGTTTTTGCTAAATATCAAGGAATTTATTAAGAGCTCTCAGAGAGCAAAGTAGTTACCACAACAGGGGTAACCATTCCAAGATGAACAAAACCAGAGTATTTATAGCGAAAAGCCTAAGCAAAAAAGCTATGAGCTGCCCTGTTACAACTTCTAAGGATCCAAACAAAAGAAATATTCTGGAACTAAGACCTTGTTTAGTTCACCGTTCTGATTGTAAAATTTGGTTTGAATTGGGTGATTTGAATTGTGATTCGAATCGATATTTGAATACACAAATAAATTATAATTTGAATTGTGAATGAAATCCAAACTGTGTTTGGATAAAGTGTTGAAAACTGTCATTAGAATTTTGTAACAAATCTTATAAAACCTCATTGTAAATGACATTATAAATATGCAATATGAATAGATTTGTTACTTTCTTCATTATGAATATAATGGAAAAAAAAATACCTCAATCGAAATTAAAATAAAAAAATTATGACAGTTTTCAACTTAAAGTTAATAGAGAAGAAAGTGAATCTACATTATTTTTACTGTAGAAAACAATTCAAATTATAGATCCTAATTCGTGTAGGACGACTCATCAATTTCTAGCTTTATATATAATTATAAAAGAAAAATGTTAACGTCACTCTTTTTATTACTTTCTATATTTAGTGTTTAATATATAAACTTCACTAATATAATATATTATATTTAAATAAAAATGAAATAATGAAATTTAAGTATCAAACAGTAATACATAAAATAACAAAAAGAACGTAACATTTCTCATTCATACAGGAACGAATAGCTGCCATGATTCGAAAATCTTCTTTAGCCACTGGAAAAGCAGTCAAAACTGATTTAGGAACAAAAACAGTTATAGGCGACACTTCTCGGCTACATATATCCACTCTGTCCCAACACACTTCCCAAGACGAACCAAACCAAAAAGCTCTAGCAAAATGGCGTTGTACCAGCAGGTGGACAATGTTTTCATTCTCATCCTCACACGTCGGACCTAAAAGCCTCATTAAGTTGATACTAATACGGACTAGTGCTGGAACTTTGGACGGGCCGCCCGCGACCGCCCGAAAAAATCGAGTTTTTACCCGAGCCCGACCCGCCCAAAAAATTCGGGTCGCCCGCCCGAGCCCGAATTTCCCCTTGAACGGGCTGCGGGCTTGTGTTAGTCCGCCCGACCCCGCCCGATTTGCCCGAATTTTTTTAAATATTTTTTTATTTTTATAATTATTAAGTTAGTTTGTGTTAAAATTATGTAAAAATCAAAATCAACATTCAATAGACATTATTAACACAATTGAATAAATTAATCATGTATATTATTGATGTATTAAATTCGTAATTCATGATTGTCTCGTTAAAAACCTTTCCCAGAAAAACCCAATTGGGATAAAAACTTGGCAAGGAAAAAAGAGTGCAATCATTTTGTGATGAATTACAAATTTTACAAACTTACAAAATTATACAATTACAAATACAATGTCAAAAGTAAATACATATTTACAAATTACAAATTTACAATTTAATTTGAAACTGAAGGATCGTCTTCAAAATTAAATGTTAATCGATTAAATTCATCAATCCATTCTTGGCTTGCCGGCGAAATTGTATCCTGTAGACATTGATCGACCCGATCCCAATCCTTAATGCAAACTAAGGCTTCAACAATATCCCTTTG